TTAAGCTGCTGGTTAACTGGCTGAACTCTGGCTGTGAGTAAAGACTTTGTCTCGGTAACTAAACTGTGCCAGTGACAGTCAGCTGGTTCTGAAGCAGCAGAACCGACCGATGTTTCTGAACCTGATCAATAGTTGTAGCTGATTGATTGGACGGTTGTTAATCATCGTTAATCTGATCCAGTAGATTATTACTCTGTGGTCTGTGATGTGTTTCAGTTAAAGGAGATTCTCTGCAGATTTAGTTTCTGTTCCTGAAAATAAATTCAAACTTTTTACCTTTTTTTTCTTTCTTTTTTTTTTCCGCCGACATGTTTTTCAGACGGTTTCTGAATAGTTTTAGACATTTTGTGTGTTTTATTAAATATTTTTCAGACTGTTGCTTCATATTGTTGCTCACAGTCAGTCTCATTGATTCTGCAGAGGAGGCAGAATTTATATTTATCTATTTAACAGAATCTTGTTACTGCAACTTCTACTGTTTATTTTTGGCAAATTTTTAAGTGAGACCTGTAGAACAAAGTGATTTTAGGTGAAATATTTGTGATTCTAGGCTCAGATTTGGTCAGTTGTCGTTCTAAAGCTGACACTCTGAGACTTCCTGCTGCTTCTACAGTCTCTGGTTCCGACTAACGGTGTGTTTTTGGGTTTTCCTTTAAAGCCATCAGAGGGTTAAACCGTCCCAGACCTCACACTGTCACGCTGCTGGTTGTCTGAACGGCTGCTTCATCCACATACTCTCCAGTAAAGCTCTTATTTGTGTCGCGCCTGAAGCCTGTTTGTGCCTCTGAGCTGCTCTAAGTCTTTGTTTTGTGAGCTGCACTTTCCACAAGTTCACACTCGCGTAGGAGAACCAGTGTTCTGGTGTTCTGGGCGGAGGAGGAACCTGAGCCCAACAGCTGAGCGTGGACGTCCTCGGCTCAGGAATCCGTCTGACAGGACGTCTGCTGAGCACGTCTCACGGTTTGCAGGCGTTCTGAGCGAACACCACACAAACTGAGTCGAACACGTCCAGAGTTCTGCTGCTGTGAGCGCTGACGTCATGCAGATTAACCGGTTCTCAGGGGAACCTTAAACCTCGGCTCGCCCCGGAGCTGCAGCTCCACGCTGTCGGCTTCGTTTACAGCCGGAGAGCCGGAGGCCACAGCTGTGAGCAGGAGTTGTGTTAGCGTTGTGTTAGCGTTGTGTTAGCGTTGTGTTAGTGTTGTGTTAGTGTTGTGTTAGCGCTCGGCCCAGGCAGGCCCGGACACGGCCCCGCAGCACCGATGGCCTCCGTGGCCCGGCAGCAGATTAGCCGCCTTAGCAGCGAGTCGTGCAGCAGGATCGGCAGCGTGTTGCTCAACTTCAGGCTCAGCTGGATTACAGCTGATGGGTCCAGCTAATCTGGAGGCCGCCTCGCTGGCACAGCCTCCAGTTAAAGCTCCTCTGGAGCCAGGTGCTGGAGGAGGAGAGTCGGTGACCTCCGGCCCAAGGTCGCTCAGTCTGAGGAGCGATAACAGGCGCTAAGCAGAACCCGGGTCAGCTTCAGCCGGTAGTCTGGTTTGTGCAGGAACCTGACGCTGATGTTTGGAGGAGTTAAAACGAACAGACTCACGATTCAGTCGGTAAATAAAGAAAAATCCTGAACCAGAACAACATGAAGGAGGAGATGGAACAGTCAGCAGGACTCAGAACAGCAGAACCTCTTTGGGTCATTTCTGTATAAAAGATTTAACACTGGAGATAGTTCCTGGATTCTCCACATAATGTCCATATTTAACTGTTTTACAACTTCTACAAACTCACTGACACAGTTTTGTCTCCTTTTTGTTTTGTTTTTTTTGTCTAATTTTTGTTGTTTTGTGTCACTTTGTGTGTTGTTTTGTTTGTTTTCGGTCTCGTTTTAGTCGTTCTTTTTGATCTTTTTGGTCCATTTGTGTCTCAGTTGGGTTCATAAACTGTTTGTTTATGTTGCTTCATGTCTCTTTTGCTCAGTTCTGTTTCCTTTTTTTGGGTCATTTTTCATGTCCTGTCATTTTGTGTATTGCTTTTTTGTTGTTTTGTAGTCCATGTTTTCTTTTTGTATTATTTTGTGTGTCTTCGTGGTGGTTTCGTCTCCTCGTCCTGCAGTTCTACATCCATCCAGGTGTCGCAGTCTGAACACTGAACATGTGGACGGATTTGAGTCATTTTGGGCCACTTCACGTCACTTTGAGCAGTTCTTTTGAGCAATATTGGACATTTTTGACAACTTTCATGTCATTTTTAACTATCTTTTACTTTTCCGACTGTTTTCAGTCACTTTGGACAAGTTTACGTCATTTTGTTTAAGTTTTGAGTCATTTTGAAGATGAAAACTTTGATTTTTCTGACCTCCACTTCCTCGTGTTCGTGCTTTTTGGACACGTTTATGTAATCTTGGGGAAAAATGTGTGACGTTACATCCTTTTTTATTCATTTTGGATAATTTTTCTTAAATTTTTTTGAGAACCAGGAGTAGGAAGGTTCTGGGTTTTACAGAAGCTGCTTAGAATCAACGTTTAGTGACTTGTTGTGGTCGTTTAGGTTTAGTTCTGGTTGCTGAACGTCTCGTTGTGGTCGATTCACATCACATTTAGGTCATTTTCTGTCTTTTTTGGGTTGTTTTGTGGTGGTTTTGTGCGACACTTTTGGTTGTTCAGCGTCTCTTTGTGGTCGTCTCCTCGCCGCTGTGTGGAAACTGTTCAGCTGGAAACTCTGAACTTTATTTTTTGCAGAATGTGATTCATGCAGACGGTTTGTTTTCAGTGAGACGTGTAGAATGAAGTGGTTCTGATGGAATAACTGGGTTTGTAAAGTTGAATGTTTTGTGGTTTTACAGCCTCTGGCTCTGACAGTTTGTGTGATTTTGTCTTTTATTATCGGTAACGTGACTTTTGGAGGTTTAAAGGTGGAGCTCCAGACCACACACTGCCATGTGTTTGTTCTGAGAAGCTCTTGTTTGTGTCGGTTCTGAAGCCGGTTTGTGGCTCTGAGCTGCTCTAAGTCTTTGTTTTGTGAGCTGCACTCTCCACAAGTTCACACTCGCGTAGGAGAACCAGGGTTCTGGAGGAGGAGCTTTAACTCCGGCGTGGACGGAGATAAAGACGGCGTCTGCTGAACTGAGCGGCTCGATGTCTTCTGGGCCGCAACGGGTCGAGACCGTCCGGCCCACAGTGGTCCCAGCAGCAGAGGAATGCAGGTGTTTGTACGAGCAGGTCGAGCTGTGGGTTTAGTCCAAGAGTTAAATCCACACAGGAAGCAGCCCGACCACCAGAGGAACCACATCGGTCCATCTGTCTCTGAACCGGGTCAGACTGAGGAGTGATCATCGATTAACGTCCAGATGATCGACTCAGTCAGTCAGAATCAGTCTGCAGAACCTTCATCTACTGACCAGAGTTCTATCTTCAGACTGTGAATGTTCCAGAGGTCCAGGTCCTTGAAGTCCACAGAGGAGGGTCCAGATTGATCACTAACCCTGAGCCTCAGAACTTCATCAGTACA